TGTGTCTGTATTCAATTATTAAAAGAAACTCAGATGGTACAAGCAATATATCATATATAGACTATCATCATAGAGGAGGAATATGAGCAATTCTTTTAGAAGGGGATATAGAAGAGCATATAACCAAAACTGTTGGAGAAATAGATAAGCAAATTGAGGATACTTTACAAAAAGGATCTGAATATATTCTCGAACGAATTCTTAAAATAACTATTGAGGTATATACTTTACAATGAGCAACAGGAGGATCTTATATTTATACTCCAAAGAAGCTAGCTAATACAAAGTGTACTATCAATCCTGATAATTATATTCTCATTGATTCAGAAACGAAAAAGCCTTCTGAAAAATGTCTTCAAGGTGCTTTAGGTTGTTATTTCACTCATCAGGATGGACATACAGATCATCTAGAAAGAATCTTTTGTGCTACAAAATATAAACCATATTTAGATGTAGTCAAGCTAGACGAAATCCCAATGCCCACTCCCATCTGCTCACATATATTTAATAAGATTGAGGAGATGAATTCAGATATATTCATTAATGTCTAGGAGTGGAACGAAGAATCAGCTATACCCAAAACAGTAATAGCTAGTAAGAACTTTAAAAGAAAACATAAAATTCATCTATTAGCCCTTACAGATATTACTAAAGATGACGAAACAGGTAAATATAAACAAAAGAACCATTTCCTCTGGATCAAGAATATTAACAGATTAATTTTCAAAGATACTGCACATAATAGTAAGAAGTATTTATGTGATAGATGTATTATAAGCTGGCCTTCAGAAAAGTCTCTAGAACATCATTTAGAATGGTATCTAGGAATACATGAAAATGCTTCCCAAAGAATCACAATGCCTGTAAAAGGAATAAATGACTTCGAAGAGTTCAAGAATTATAGTCGAATGATCAATGCTCCTTGTGTAATTACAGCTGATTTTGAGGCTGATAATAAGAAATGTAATGAGACATATAGTGGAAGTATGATTAAACTCACTGAGCAAAAGGCTAACAGTTTCTGCTATTTGGTTCACTGGATCGATACTGGAGATGTATGGGGTCTGTTCTTATATAGGGAAGAAAATGCAATACAAGAATTTGTTCGAAGAATCGATCAAGAGCTGGTCAAAATCAATAAGGTCTTAGCTAATAAACATGATCGAATTGAGACTGAGGAAGACAAGAAAAGATTTGCTGAATCAGATACTTGTTAGATCTGTAAGGGAAGGGAAAATTGCTATTGACAGAGAGGAAGTCAAATGCTTTGAAAATAAGGCATCATGGATCAATAATAAGCTAGAAAATATCCCAAAGAATTCAAAAGACTATAAGGCATTAATCACACAAATTCTCAAAGTGACTAAGGTAATTGATCAAGCAGAGGCTATGGATATTAAGGTCTGGGATCACTGTCATATCACAGGTAAGTTTTGAGGTTCAGCTTATAGGAATTGCAATCTTAAACTCCAGATACAGGCTTAGAAAACACCGATCCCAGTTATTTTCCACAACTTCTGAGGTTATGACTCTCACTTGGTTTGTGAGTCTATTGAACGATCAGTTAATGCTCTCCATATACAAGTTATAGCTAAAACATTTGAGCGATATAAATCTATGAAGGTAGGTCAACTCAAATATATAGATAGCATATAGTTCATGAATAGTAGCTTGGCCAGTTTTACAAAAAATTTGGGTGATAACCACCCAATAACAAGCCAATATTTCAAAAAATTAGATTATACAGAGAAGCAATTAGCATTAGTATATCGCAAAGGAGTTTATCCCTATGATTATATTGATTCTCATGATAGGTTTCAGGAGACAGAACTTCCTTCCATTCATGAATTTTATAGTACTCTTAAAGGTAAGATCTCACAAGATGACTACAAACACGCTCAGAAAGTATGGAAGGAATTCAAATGTAAAAATCTAGGTGAATACCATGATCTTTATCTTAAAACTGACGTACTTAGTCTAGCAGATGTCTGAACAGAGTTTCGAAAAATGTCTATGGAATATTATGAACTTAATCCCAGTCACTATGTTTCTGTTCCATCACTATCCTGGGATGCAATGCTTAAGATGACAGGAGTTAGGATCGAACTTTTTACAGATTTGACCATGCATGATTTTACCGAAAAAGCTAAGCGTGGTGGTATATCTATGGCCTGTAAATGATATTTTAAGGCTAATAATCCCAAGATGGGAGAAGCCTATGACCTATCCAAACCCACATCCTGGATATTATATGTAGACGCAACAAATCTTTATGGACATTCTATGAGTTAATACTTACCTATTGGAAATTATCAATTGGAAACTAGTCGAGAATATTTACTAAAAAATCCAACTATGCAGAAGAAATATCTTGAAAAGATTCTCAATACACGATCTGATGCTAAACGAGAGTATTTCTTAAATATTAATTCACATTTTCCTCTAAAGACTCATGATTATTTAAAAGACTTACCTTCAGCTGTAGAAAATATCGCTATAGAAAAGGATTGGTTAAGTCCTTATAATGCTGAACCTGTAGAACAATTAGATGGTGGACGCTTCTCTGCCACAAAAAAATTAGTCCCCCATCTTGGACCACGAAAGAACTATG